GTTTCCAGATGGATATGCGGAGCAAATCCATCTGGCGGAGTCAGGTTAAGGGCGGGTATACAATACCTTTAAAGGATGTGTGAAGACAAGCAGCAAAAGATAAACCACACAGCTCCACCTTCTGGATCAATTCAAGATTTTTATTTTGACAGCATTTCAGAATATAATACAGGTAAACAATGTTTTGTTTTTCTTTTTTTTTGTTGCAAAAGTTAATATATTCATAGTGTTGCCTTTTAATAAAAATAGTTGCTCACTTACAGTCTCTGTGACCATCAATAGTTACACTTCTTCTACATGGAGAGATTAGCTCAGGGTCTACACACTGCTAAAACACCACAGTGACACAGAGCTGCTCGGGTGCTGCGGTTTAATGTCGGGGGGGAACATCCTTGGACATCTGCTCACAGTTTGGATCCGCAGAGAGAGAAAGCAGCGACTTGTGCAAAAGTTTAAGCTTCTGTGTCAAACTGGATTTCATGAGAAACATTCCTGCACAAGGATCAGACTGAGACTGAAAAGACGAGCTGATGATGCTTCTTCCTCCCCTCCCCCTCTGTGCTGGATGCTGTTTTACAATCAGTCAGCTCACTTCTGGTGTAAATACAGATTATAGCGGCAAACATGATGAGTCCCCGTCTCCCTTTGCTCTTTTAAGAAGCTCTTGTTGCAGAGCAGAGGAAGGTAACTTTATTGCCTTGTAAGATTTGAATCCCCGCTCACCTCATCCCCAAAATAAGTGGATTTATCTGTTAATTTTTTTGTTTACTGCTAAAATTTAAACAAATACCTTTTTTTCTATATATGATCTGCAGTCATTTATATACGTACTTGTTTAGTGACGACAAAGTTAGTGATTTTTTTTCAGGTTAAAATAGCATTTAAAGTAAAAAATGTAAGGGTGATGCATCTCTCTGTTTTGGTACATAAAATTGTATTTATATATATATATATATTATTTTTTTTTACATATTTCTTAGGATTTTCTCTGATTTCTTCTCTTTGGATTTGGTGAAATATTTTCAATTTTAAAACAAGAACTTTTGTAGCGTATGAGTTTTGTTTTCTTTGGAATCTTTGTTCTTAAACTTTCTTAATGTTCATGCAGAAAAAAGAAAACGTCCGATGAAATGCTGAGCTTTTCGCAGCAGCGGAGGCTGCAGGTGTGCAGGAACAGGAAGTGACCTCCGGTCAGCTTTTTTTGTTGGGGGGAGTCCAAGATTAGAATGTGACCCTGGTTATTTAGAGCACGCCACAACCATCCTCTATCTAACACAGTTTCATCTAAAACTGTAGATAAATGCCCGGTCTCTCCTAAAACTCTACTGGTCAGACGTTTACATGAATTATAGAAATAAAAGTAGATTTCTTTCACATTAAATATCTCTTATAAACCTAAACTAACTGCTTTTTGAGTTCATTTAAAATGGCGTGCTTCCTGACACAGACTGATTATTATTTTTGACCATCGAGGTGCTGATTTGAAGGCCGACCTTCTTGATTTTTCCACCTGTTTAACCCAATGCTGCAATACCAGCAGCCTCACAGCATGATGCTGCCACCACCATGCTTTATAGTTAAGAGTTTTTACATTCTTTGTATCATTTTAATCGAACATTTCTCCAGAGGGTTGATACTGGCCAAAACACAGTCACATGGTGTTTCATCCACATGCCTTTCAAAATGGGGCTTTTAAACTTTTAACGTGTTTCAAAATATTTTTTCACAAATACTTTTTGTTTTATAGCCGTGTAAACAAATAAAATGAGATTTAAAAATGTGTGACTGCGAGAGTAATGATACAGCAGGTATTAATTTTTAAGCCCCGCCCCCTAACGGCCGGCATCATTGGAGACTAGAGGCTCAGAGCTTTTCAAGGAGGGGTCGGAGGTCATTGTGCGACCATTTAAGTGATGTAATCGGCATGCTTTAAATAAACTTGCTCTGTTATTCTTATTTTCTATTCAGTTTGGTGATATTTTTGGTAAATTTGAATGAAACAACAACTAAATCTTAGGAGCAAAGGCTTTGCATTATGCAGAAAGTCTCCAATAATGTAAATCAGCATGTTGGACCGGCCGGATTCCCTATTATGAGTGGAAAAATGCATTTGGCACAATTTGCCCACTTTTGGCTAGCCTCGTGAGACCATCCTGATCTCGCGAGCTTTCAAGGTTTCACTCGCAGATCAGTCTGGAGACTCTCCGTTAAAGAATATTTGGAGCCGTTCACCAAACGAACGTCCAATCAGCATTGGCTTTGAGGCGGGTTGAGGTGTGACGCAACAAGAAGCGCGACAGTTCAGTCTAAAGAACATGGCGGCTTCAGCCGATGAAACTAGCGTTAGCGTGGCTATCGAGCAAGTTTTATCGGAATTACAGAGTATTTCTTCACTGAAAGAAGAGCAAAACACTGCTCTGGAGGCTTTTCTCAGAGGAAAAGATGTTTTTGCTCTTCTCCCGACTGGTTTCGGCAAGAGTAGCCTGGCTGTTAGTACGTCATATGCTTCGTTGATCTGATTGGTTTATTTGGCCCGTCTATCACCAACATAGGCCAATCAGCTAACCAGTATTTTCGCCCCTTCCCAAAATTACTTCAACGGAAGGTTTCCAGATGGATATGCGGAGCAAATCAAGTTAACTTTTGGCACCACTGTGCCAAAATCACATTTCCTCCTAGCACACTGCTCACTACAACCTTTGTCGAGCAAACATGCTTCAACTTATTCAATTCAAATTTGCTTGATTTATAGTCAAGATCTGCATCTATAAAGTCTGAGGGTTCATCCAGAGTTTCAAATGGGGTTTCATGATGTTTTGCAGTTTTTACTTTTCATTTTGTTCTCTGTTTAATATAAATCAGAACTGATGACATTTAAAATAGTGATTCCACCTGAAAAAAAAAACAAATCCTCAATGCCTTTCTGTCATACAAATACAAACATAGTTTGGGAGCAGTAGTTGCTTTAATTCACATATGTAATTTCAGGTGGAATTTGCTACTAAGACCCTCAGGACTTAAGGGAGTTGGGTTGAACAGCTTTAGCTTGATTCCTCCAAACATATGACTCATTATTTGTGTTTGAGATCAACGTCCTCTTGGAAACTGACAGGTTTGTCAGAGTTTAAAATTAAAAACTTTAAATGGGAAAAAAAAACAAAGAAAAACATGACTGATATTTGGTCTGGTTGAAAATTGACTTAATGCTTTATATCCAAGAACAGGCACGGTGACGGCGGTAGCATGCTGTGGGGCATTTTTTTTGTTTTACAGTTGAAAATAATGAACTTTAAATCAAAGGATATGTAAATTAAACTTGATGGCTATTTTTAACTTCAGCGTCAATCCACTTTTTTTGAATATTTTTCTGTATCTTTATTCAAAAATTATTAAAGTAATCAAGCCCTAAAATGAACTAACAATCATGTCCATCTGTGATGTAAAGGTCTGACCAGAACCTGATGTAGCTTCAATAATCCTCCTTCAAGTGAGATTTGGCACAGATGTGTTTCTCCCAACAACACAGTGCAAACAGAACCAACAATAAAAGGCAATCATGAGGCCTCAGCAATATCTAACAAAAGTCAAGTCCAATTAAAAAAAACAAACAATTAACAAGCTTAGTAATTTGAGTTGAAAGGTGCTGGTTTGATTACACGAATAAGTGTTTGCTTTATGGTAAATAATAGTGTCGGATCTTAATAAACAAACAGCAATGACCCAAGGTGAACCATTTGCTAAAACAAAAGACCTCTGCTAATGGGCTAACTATCGTATTTATTCAATAAATTATATAATTAACTATTTATCACATTTAAAAATACATTTTCTAATTCATTTCTGTGAAGTTGGTGTTTTATAGCAGCCAGACTATTCGTCAGTCTAAGGCACGCATCATTATTCTCTCTGCCGCCGAGGGACGACGGCTTCGTAAATCGCTTTGTCCTTTTGTCTTTAAGCACAACAGTTACCATAGAAACGGATAAACGGGACAGTCGTACAGAACGGGAAACAAACGCTGCAGTGGAAACTCCCAGAACCTGCAGATGAAGATGCTGAGCCGATGGTCTCTGGTCCGCGGGTCTCTGAACATCCATCAGTTTTCTTTAGAAGCTTCTTCACTATGAAGATGGTCTTATTTACAAACCGTTTGCAGATATTTTTTATATAATATACTGTATCTTTAGCCACGTGATGGATTAGTTGAGAGCAACCGAGGCCCACATGGTCTCTAAGGCAAAGCTCGGCCGATGAGTGGATTTCATCTCTGCTGTCACGTTTTCATTCATTCATTCCCCCAAAAAACAGGCGAACCTTCTTCTTAAACATTCCACTTCATAAAATAGAACAATTTGAACAGTAAATATATTCATATAAAAAGTCTGAGCCTGTTTCCTGTCCAGCTCAGACGTGTCAGAGTTCTCGCCCTGCTACTTGATTGCTCTTTCTTCTCCGTAAAGTGGATGATTTTCCAGTTTTTAAGGTGGTGGGTGTAACATAATACTCCAGAATAACTTAAAATACAGTAGTATAAATAAAAGTTCAAACGACATGGTCTAGATAAGCCCCCTCGCTTTGTTTTTTTTTTTTTTTTATATCTGTGGGAGGATATGGGAAGAGGAGGCTGTGAAGGTGGCGGTCTGATCCGGATGAACGTGGACGCTGCGGCGTTATCTGCTGAGCGTGGACGCACCTGTGCGCAGCGTGCTGGGCAGCTTGTCTGATCCAGGGATCTTCCACGGACCGGGTGAGACCGTGGCCTTCCTTCCCGCCGTGGTGCTCTTGCCGGGGCGGCCGACTCCCAGGTCGCCGTCAGGCTCTCTGAGCCTGGCTTTACCCCGACGCTCTGCGCTTTCCCTGCTGTTCCCGTTAGTGTGTGGGACCTTGGAGCCGCTGGGAGAGCGAGTCCTCTCCTTGGACCTTCCTCTGGTGCTCCTCGAAGGTTTGGGCTCCCCGCCTTGTCCCTCCTTGTCCCTTTCGTCATCAGTAGTGTGCTGCTGCATCCTGTTTCCCTTATGGGTGGACCTGCCACCGTCGTTCTTTGCTCTGCCGCCGCTGGTGGGGGTTCTCCTCCCCTGAACCATGAGGTCTCTGTTCGGCAGCAGCTCAGCTTTCTGGGGGCTCTTGGAACGCTCCGCCAGTCTGTCTCGAGCCACGGCGTCCCGAGTCGCATCCTGAGGAGGCAAATGAGGAGGGTCGGGGGCCGGGGCCAAATGAGATGAAGGCGTTTGCATGGTGAGGCTGTCGATGGGCGGGCCTACTTCCGACAGGCTTGGGGAGGCTGAAGGGCGACCATCCCATGGGGCGGCATTGTCTGGAACAAAGAGACACATGGTAAGAAACACCAAAAAATAAGAAACACAAACACACACCCAGAACACCACTACATCTATGAACCTTTAACTCTACTGGGGAAAGCAGAAAGCCTTCTGTAATGGTTGAAGATCATCAAACTAATTTTAGTATCAGATCTATTAGAGAAGGATTTTAATGATTTATTTCATTTGTAATAAAAAACTAATGATTCCGTCCGGACCATCACATTCCTACATGTTTGAATTAAGGGTATGATGTATTTCTTCTGAAATCAGACCAAATATAAGTTTATATTTGAGGACAGACTTTTTTAAAAGCTCCACTTTGTCTCATCAGAACAGAATATTTTCTGGGGGGGATCATTGAGGTTTTTGAACTAATCTGAAGCTGATGTTCTTTTTTTTTAAATCAAAAGTTAAACTTAACTTTGTGGGAAAATGTAATTAATCTCTTAATTAACAAAGTCAAAGTCTTAATTGACTCCAAACACCTTAAAAAATATGCTTTAATGACATTGGTCAGTATTAAGCTGAAAATAAGTTTTGCGTGAAGGCCTACCAACATATTGCACAGTTTCTACCAGAGTATG